CGTGCCAGCTATATGATAAAGAAAGAACCAGCCTTTTTACTAAACATAAAATGCATGGAGAGACATTAATAAACATATTAAATAATAAAAACGATCACATAATTAAAGACATTTCAAAACACATTTATACTTGCTTTATGCTTAGGGAGCAAAAAATCAAACAATAACTTCAGTACCAGCTACCTCAAAAAAAAAACCCCACAAAACACAGATTTACATTTATTTACATTATATTACAATTATTCATTTATCTCTTATTGTGAGATGTGTATTTATTTCATTCATTTACTGTATTTTTAGTATTTCCTTTTATTTTCATTTTTTTATTATTACATGTTTTTGACTTTATTGTACTTTTTGTCAAGATCTCAAATGGGATACGATAGCAATAAAGAATTACTTACTTACTTACTTACTTACACCATATTAGTTTTTGGTAAATATTTATGCTTCTTAATCACTTAATTAACATAATTAATTAATACTGTATATCTCAAGTATTGATCATCACATTTGAATAAAACTTGGTACATAAATGGTCTAGGACAATAGACAGCCTGATTAATTTTGGGTTAAAATCTGTTCATATTAATTCTCTAATTAGCATAATAATTAATATTTTTTTGGTTCTAATCACATTTCAATGAAACTTGGTACATTGTGCAGACCTTAATAGTTTTACACTTAAATCTGTTCGTTACCTTATTTGCATAATTCATTTTCTGCGTTCCCATCAACATCTCAAGTTCAAGTAATTTTGAATTAATTTTTAATGTCTCCAATACTCTCAGCACACGGGAGTTCTTTCTAAGCTTTCTTTGATTTACACATTGTTCTGATAAAATCTTTTATAGTTATGTAAAGCCCTGTTTGCTGTTAACATGGCGTAAAGATTGAAATCTTGATGTAAATCAAAACCTCATTCTGTCCCTTTAAATTAAAAATTTTGATTATTAAAGTTATATGCAACATTGATATTAAATGTGAAGTGATTTTGTAACAAATTGATCTAGATAGTGTTGATTGCACAGTTCTGATTTGAAGAACATACCGGTAATATGTAATATATAATTTTATGTTGGTTTATACAGTGGAAGAAATACTCAAACTTGTTTCATTATCATTTTCTTTTTAGCATGATCAGAAAGTTGTGTTATACTTATTTGATCTGATATCCAACCACCAATCAGAACTAAGTAATGAACAGTGCCAGGAGGTAGAGACATTCCGAGCAGTACTTGAGAAGTGTGGATTTATGCCGCTACAGTCGAAGGTCTTTAATGAGAAATTCATCCATCTCAAGGAGGTAAGACTAAATTGCATAGTGAATCCATTTTCATTTTTGTTACAAAGTTATTATTAGTTCTGCTGTCTTCTGACATTGTTCTTTTGGTATGTCCATCTGTATGTCCATCTGGCATCAACTTTTCATAAATAAAAACTACATGGCCAATTGCTTTGATACTTAATATATTATTACTTTGAATAGACTTCTGTCAAATTTGCGCATGATTACAACTCTAATTTTAGTGCATGTTTTGTGATTTTTGAAATTGTAAAAAAAGATGTACATAATTCAGTGCATGCATAATAATTACATGAATTCCATCCTTATTTACAGGACTTGAAAGTATTTGAGCTTGAGCATGAGAAAAATCTTGCATCATGGAAGAGGCAAAGAGAAATACAAGAAAGAAGACAGTTACATCGACTAGATGGATTAGCCAAAGAGATTTCTAATTGTGCTATGGAAATCACGCAGGTAGGTAGTAATTCTCCTTTGTCATGGAAACATGAAAGAATTATTGCATCACTTGTGATTCTGTCAGCACACTCATCTCCCCCAAAAAAATGATCTATCACTTTGTGAACTATGTAAACACATTTTTTCACAAACCAGGCTAGAAATTTAAATTTACAAGTGGGAAATATGAATTCTTATATTATGTTTTGTTAATTCACAGAAAGTTGTCATGAATCAAAATGTCCAGAGAAAGAAGTTACTTGAGAAAGTGAGACAGAGTTTGGCCAAGACCATGGATGTTAGAAAAGGATGGCATGATATTATACAACAATTGACCCATGAAAGGTAACCCATATATGGGCATGAAAATTTCAACTATTAAAAACTATTCCACTTGAAGTAAATTTATCATGTGCTGTGTTAAGATATTCAGAAAATTTGTAATTACAAATCATGTTTGTATTGCGTTATCAACTCCACAGGGCTATATGGCATGATCCTGAATTTGAATGCACATCATGGCAATTAGACCCAACTGAGGGGCCAGCTAGGGTAAGGCGGCGTCTACAAAGATGCCACCTTGGACTTAATCGCAAATACTTAATGAATGAGAGGCAGCGTACTTACAAGGACTCTTGCTTTCAACCATTGTCATATATATTTGACGATTGCAGTCATTGTTTAGATGCCACAGATTTGATCTGTAGAACACAAACAAATGAAGCTATCAGGTAAGAACGGATTCAGTATAATCTCAGCTACATGTATCATTAAACACTGTACTTTTGTTGTATTATATTTCAGTTACAAAGCAACGCAAAGGTTAAATATATGGCCAGTCAATATAATTCATACATTTGATGAGAAAGTTTGAAAACAACTCATGTTTAGGGGTATAAATTTGTCCTGACAATTTAACCAATGATTTAACAAATTGGATGAAATTTTCAAACCCAAGCTTCATCCACAATTGCACTCACACTGTGTTAAAAGTTCAAATACATATGATTCAAATTATTATACACTGCTTCATTTTACCTTTTTTTACAGAAACACAGCAAAATGTTCTAATGTTACACCATCATCAGAGACGCCTGGTGAACTTCTTATAGGTACGCATGGTCTACAAATATTTCAGTTATGATGTCAAAATAACCCATAATGTCCCCTGTCTGTGGGCAGGTTCTTCTGATATTGAACTTTCAGATTTCAGTAGTTTTTTTTGAATCATAGTATCTGGGCTAGAATTGTTTGTTATCTTCACCTGACTAATTCAACCTTACTGGTACATTAGAAAGCTGACATACTACCAAGTTGAGCAATTTTTAAGCAGACACATTGGTTTATTAGTGCCACTTGTTGATTAACCTGGTCATTAATCAGAGATGCATAGGATGAAAGGCCTGTGTGTGTTTTACCCACCATCTTCACAGAGAGTGTCTTGTTCCTGTTCTGATATAGTCCTATAATGATTGACCTCCATCTATGTGTCTGACCGTGAGATCATATCGAGCCATATTTCACATATGCTTAGACTGATCAAGTTCTAACTTTACTTGTACATCAGATATTATATCATACATGATGTGTTTCAAAATTGCTGAATGGTAGCCATTTTAGGGCAAAAAATGCATCAAAATTACACATTTTCACAATTCGAAAATGGGGACTTGTGTTTTGACCTTTTTGTGTGCGTGTATCTCAGACATTCCTGGACCAATCACAAATAAACTTCATACATACATCATACAAACATGTACATGATATTATACATATGCACATCAATTTGTTTTAGATCTGATTCAAGATGGCCGAATGGCGACCATTTTTGTGCTAAAAAATCATCAAATATCAAGCATTTCTGGCATCTCTGGATGGATTTTGTTCAAACTTGGTACATACATTAGACATTACGGGTTCCTGATGCACGTCATTTTATTTTTTTGGATCAGATTCAAGATGGCTGACTGGTGGCCATTTTGTTTTAATGAATGGGCTTCTAGAGCCATATCTCTGACATGCTTTGACTGATTATGTTCAAATTTTATATATTCATTAAACATCATGTTATAGAAATATATACATGTATTCAAAATGGCTGATTTTGTTTTGATTAAAGCTGTTCCAGAGCAATATCTCTCAATATGAACAATTACTAGTTTGATGATACAAATGTCAATCATTTTAATGTTAAACAATCATCGTAATCATATTCCTGACATATATTTATATTCCAACTATATTACTATAAACAAAACTATATTTCTTAAATTCAATAACTAACTGGGACTGTGCTATGCATGGCTTGTATTTTTCAGGTTTGGCTCAAAATGGCCAATTTAGTTTAAATAATGCATTTCAACATGCCTAGACCATTCAAGTTCAAACTTTACATGTCTTTAGTGTTAGACATCATATTGAACAGACACACATGCACATCTCGCCATCAAATCCAAAATGACTGACTGGTGGTCTTCTTGTTTAAACATCTGCAGTTTCACAAAGCCGTATCTGATACATGTTGGTCAATATCATGGATATTGTTAACAATTATAACCTTGTGTTCTCGACAGGTGCAAATAATGTGTATTTTGTTGGTGATGATATTGGTATGGAATTCCAATCTGATCAGGTTAGAAATACACATTTCATTACAATGATTTTTTAGCCTTTTAGTATTTGATGAGGACATGTATAAAAAAATGTATCAAACAATTCCTTTTCTACTTGATTTTATAGCCTTTTAGCTCCGCTGTCGACTTTGTCGAGCGAAGCTTATCATATGAGTGATTGTCCGTCGTTGTCCGTGTCAATGTTTTACTTTTTCGACTTCTTCTTGAAAACTACAAGCCTGAATGCTTTGATACTTGGTGTATATGTACCTTGGGTAAACCTCTCTTAGAGTTGTTCATTTCATGATGATATCTGCAATTCTCTAATTTTGGTGAATATTTTTGTCATTTTTGGTAAAAAGTAATATTTTCGACTTCTTGTTAAAAACCGCAAGTCCAATTGCTTTGATATTACATATATAGGTACTACATGTGGACCTCTCTCAGATTTGTTCATTTTGTAATGATATCTTTAATTCTCTAATTTTGGTGAATATTTTTGTCATTTTTGGTAAAAAGTGATATTTTCGACTTTTTGTTAAAAACCGCAAGTCCATCTGCTTTGATATTACATATATAGGTACTACATGTGGTTCTAACTCAGATTTGTTCATTTCATGATGATATCTTTAATTCTCTAATTTTAGTGAATATTTTTGTAATTTTTGGTAAAAAGTGATATTTTCCACTTCTTGTTGAGAACAGCAAGTCTGATTGCTTTGATACAATGTACTATACATATTGTTCATTTTCTAATGATATCTTCTGTTCTTTAATTGAAATGTGCATTGCTAACAGCGGAGCTATCTCAGCCGACAGGCTGCTTGTTGAGTCAGTCAAGTGTATTTTTGACTTAAAAATATTTTACGGTGTGCACAACTCAGAGATGACATGGCTGAAAATTTGTTATGATGAGAGTATATGTTTGGGCTGTAGGTTCACATTTTTGTGTGTGATCTGATTCAATACAACTGAGAAGTAGCTTTTTTTTCGATATGTTCGTATCGGTTTGTCTGTCATGCAATGGAATAATATCAGAGACTTCAAAGATTGTTTTCAATGTCAAATTAAATTGTTTCCAATTGTTGAGAAGGGGATTTTACAATGACTTGTTTTACAGAGCCTAGAATCTGATGCTGAGGTTGTGTGTTTATCATGGTCTTATGAAGACATCAAAGAAATTCACAAGAGATGGTACCAGCTCAGAGACCATGGACTAGAAATATTTCTGACTAATGGAAAAACTTTTCTGTTGGCATTTGAGACAACAAAGGTGAGAAAACTAAAGATAAATGAAAAAGTGATTGTCTCTAGTTAAATTACTGCCTAGAAATTAAACATTTGATTTGCGGTTGTAATGTTGACTTCATTAATAGATTAAGAACCAATCTTTTTATGACATAGGAGCGAAATTTAGTTTGCCGACAATTGATGTCAATGGAACTGCCAAACCTGGTTGAGTTGGATGGAAACACTAATGCTATCACCAATGCTTGGAAGAATGGACAAATGACAAACTTTGAATATTTGATGCAATTAAATAAGATAGCTGGTAGAACGTTTAATGACTTGATGCAGTATCCAGTGTTTCCTTTTATACTTGCTGAATACAGTCAACAGGAACTGGACTTGAACAGTGCCGGAACTTACAGGAAATTATCCAAGCCAATCGCTGTCCAGTATAAAGATATGGAACAATGGTATGTGGAAAGATACAAGGTTAGTCAACTCCCACAAAACAAAACATTTTTTTTTAAACTTTTTTTAGCTCCACTTTTATTGAAGATGACAGGCAGAGCTGTTGGTATAGATAATTGTCTATCTTTATCGCCCAGGGTCAATTTTTTTTGGGACTTTATTTTGAAAAGTTGTTTCTTCTTGGTACATATGCTTCTTGGGTGGACCTTTATGAGATTTGATAATTTTGCACATCTTAGCAACTTGGAATGCTCTGGCCAGAGAATAGAGTTTAATGCCAGGGTTGATAAAATGTTGAAACTTGTCGGCACTAAAGATTTCATCAATTACCCAACCCTCCAACATTGTACTTCTTTTCTCTCTACCTCAATAGTTTATCTCTCGTATATATTTATACTGTTTCAGTAATGATTCATGCATATTTTTTTCTTCACAGTGGTTGAAAGAGGAATATGACAAACCTGAATTAAGTACTGGTGTTGATTACATGCCACGTACTCAGCCGCATCATTACGGGTCCCACTATTCCAACAGTGGTACAGTTTTACAGTACCTTGTTAGACTACCACCATTTACAAAGATGTTTCTGCATTACCAAGGTACATCATGCTTAGTTATGTCTATGGCATTTCATCAATTTTATTTCAGGTTAAACAAAAATCACTCATTGTGATGAATATTTTTCACCTATCAATATGTTGGCAATATAATGGTGAATTAAATCTTAATTTAGTACAGCAACAAATATGATAATCAAACTCATCTTCAGAGTACTGGTTGCTTTAAAGTACATGGCTGCAGCTAAGGTATAGCTCTAAACTTATTTGTAACGCAAGTTCTGATTGGTTGATAAGTCTACAAGACTTGAAAACAAATCTGCATAACAGGTACCGGTAAATGGTCATATATAGATGGCTGTATACCTACATAATATTTTCATACGCAATGGTTTGGGTCAGAATACAGCACATACATTTTGTCTTGAATATCATGCTGGTAAATTTACACCAATGGTGTTTTTCTCTTTCAGATCAACATTTTGATTTACCAGATAGGACATTTCACTCTATAGCAACGGCATGGCGACTATCATCATTTGAATCAACATCTGATGTTAAAGAACTTATACCAGAATTCTTCTTCTTGCCAGAATTTTTGTTAAACTCTGAACGTAAGAAGATATTGTTTTCTTTCTAACATGTATCTATTAATCATGAAATCAGAATCACTTAAAATCAAGTTTGTGACTAAAATATCTAACTGTTTTACATATGCTGAATCATTGCAATTGAAAAATAACATTTGGTTTTATTTTTTTCTCCTCAGGTTTCAATTTCGGGAAAAAACAGTCTGGTGAACCTGTAGACAATGTTGTACTACCTCCCTGGGCTAAGAATGACCCCAGGTTATTTATTCTGATTCATAGGCAGGCTCTGGAATCTGACTATGTATCTCAGCACATACATGGCTGGATTGATTTAGTTTTTGGTTACAAGCAAAAGGGAAAGCAATCTGTGGAATCTATTAACGTCTTTCATCCTGCAGTAAGTCAATCATTTCTATTTGTGGCCTCCAGAAGGCCTATTTCAATACTTGTGGTTGTTTTGCCACGGTGAATTACTCTCAAAAGTAAAATGTAGCAATTTTAAAATGTAGCAGGATGAGTTACAAAAATGTACTTTTTACAAATTTTTGAGAAAATGCATGTATAATATTGAAGTGAAGAAAGCAGGTTTTTAAAATTTTAGTATTTGCAGCTTAAATAGTTAATACAGTGTATGGAAACTGCTCAGAGTGCATTTTATTTGAAACATTACAAATACACATCATATTTATATAATTAAATTCAAACATATTTTGCAATAAAATAGTTTCACTTCCAGTAGCACATTGTCTTGTATGAAATTGTTTGTCTCTTGTTTTCACTTTGGGAACCTGATTGAAATTGACCTTCTGTCCAAACATGTCAACCTACATGCAACTGATAAATCTGGTGTTTTTTTATTACAGACTTACTTTGGCATTGATGTGTCCAAAATAGATGACAGTGTAAAACGAAGAGCTATCGAGACTATGATAAAGACGTATGGACAGACACCAAAACAGTTATTTACACATGCACATCCACAAAGAGCAAACTATGAATCTTATCCTGATCCTGATGTTGATGTGCCTGGCATCTATTCTCCAAGTATTTTGTCTCAGATGAAATCTAAAAAGACGACCACTGCTGCTTCACTCCAGGTAATGGTGATGATATTTGAGTTGGGAGGACATATTTTGCATTTTAATCGAAAACAAAAGTCTCAGGCATTCCTTGACAAATTTCATTCAAGTCATGATCCAATTCAACATGGCAAAAGTGACCAGATTGATGTTTTGATAATGGAAGTCTTTGCAGTTAGTGTGTCTGTATTTGTGTGTGTATGTACATGTATGTGTGTCTATCTGTTCCACTGATATCTCAAGAACAATAGATTGGTTTTTGATGTGCTAATGCACAGATTTGGTTTTGGGTTAATTCCATGCATATTAATTAACTAATTTGCATGATAATTAGCTAATTTTTAGCTGTCCAATGACTGTGCACTGATATCTAAAGAACCATTTATTGGATTTTGATGAAACTTGGTACATACTGCTCTGGGACAATGCGCAGACCTGATTAGTTTTGTGTACAAATCTGTGCATATTAATTATTCCATTTGCATGATATGTAAATTTTCAGCTTTTGCACTGATATCTCAAGTACTGAGCATCACATTACAATGAAACTTGGTTCATAGATGTCATAGCACAATGCACAGACTTGATAAGTTTTGGGTTAATATCCCATGCATATTAAATACCTAATTTGCATAATTAGTAGTTATGTGCACAATGATTAATCAATTTTTAAATTTCCACTAATATCTCAAGTACTAATCATCATAGTTCAATGACATTTGTTATGCCTGAGATATGACACAGACCTATTTAGTTTTTGGTTGAAGTCCAGTGCATATTAATTCCCTAATTTGCATATTAATTTGCCAATTGTAAGGCCTTTCAATTTTTTTTTCAAGAACAATTCAACGGATTTCAATGAATCTTGATACACAGTTGCTCTAGGATAATTTTCTTTTCTGACAAGATATATGACCAAAATATCAAGTCACCATAAATGGTCATTATTTCATTATAAATATTCATAATTGTTAAACAATAGCTACTTTGAACCACCCTAATCATTACTTGCAGTTATATTTTTAAATGCTGTTTTTGCTCTGATAGAAGCACATGTACTAACTGTAAATCTACAGTAAATACAGTATTCTTTATTTGTACTTCATGCCTCCAATACTTTTAGCACACTGGAGTTATTTCTAAGCTTTCTTTGATTTTGATTGAATTTACACACATTATGCGAGTTTGATGCACATTCAAAATGGTTGACATGACATAGGTAGTGCAGTAATTTGATGGAATAAATCAGCTGTGCAGTGGATAACAAGTTTTTCTCTACAAAATTATTCTATTACGGTAATATTGATCTTTAACTAATAGTATATATGTGTACAAAATCAATTACAAATTTAGATTGATATTAAATTTAATGATATTTCTTATATTACAGAGGCCAGTAAAGTATATTAAAGGGTTGAAATGGGGGAATTACGTTGGTAGTCCAACTACAGCTGAACCCAAGGTGTGTTGGACCCAGACATACAATACATTGGTATCAAGACTAGTAGCACTGCCTACAGGATCCGTATGTGGCTTGGCTTCTAATGTATGTCTTTTTGTGGTGTACGCCAAAGAGAAAGGTAAATTACCTTTACTGAGTTTCTTAACTGCTAAATCGTGATAATGTATTTGTACTTGTAATTAATTTTACTAGCAGCTTTTATTATCAACCCCATCAGTCTGCATCATAGAAACATGATATTCTGAAAGTCTATAGACTTAGATGCAAATGACCATTGAAATTACTTTTGAGAGCGAGAAAATATCATGCAAATTTTGCCCTTCAAATTCTCCACCACCATTGCATTCACTGTTCTAAATACCAGAAGAACAGTTGACATGACTAACGAAGAGAATGAAACTCTACAAGTTCACTGTCAGTCTGTTAATTAAGCTGAGTATAGTGTTCAGTGTAACTATAAATATGTTTATGCAATTTAGGTGTGAGTTCTATGCATACTACAGATGTGCAGTGGTCAGCTAGACTTAGCTGGGGCCATCCTGATGGCATAATGAGACTGAAACACAGACGGAATGACCCTACTATTAACTTCATCCACACTAATACCTCTGATCAGGTAATTATTATATAAATGTATTGTGTCCATTGAACCTTTACTTGACAGGCATAATGATCAATTCAGTGATTGCTTGTACAATTTATATATATCAAAAAACAATGAAATTCAGTGTTAATGTCACAATTTTGTGAATAATCTCATGTAGTATGACTACTATGGAAAAGAAAATATTACTACATTGCACATGTGTACAGCCATTATTTTATGGTGTTGACAGGATGTTTTTACCCATATGACATTTAATTATGTTTTGCATATCTAGATCAGCTGTTGTAGTTCACTGTCAGATTGCCGACAGCTGTTCGCTGGTACTGTCTCTGGTGTTATTATGGCCTATACAACTAAATACAACCCAGCTAGAGTAAGTATTCTGACAACACAGAAGAGCATTTATTAAATTCATAATATTATACTTCAGCTGTGTTGAAAAAAACAAAACTGTTCCAGCTTGTAACCTCTCCCAAAAAACATTTATAAAAAAAAAACCAAATTATATGCACAATTCTTAGCAAATGACCAACATGCATGAGAATGGGTTCTTTGGCACCCTGTCATCTCAACACTAGTATAATACAAGTTTCTAGATACGATAGTGTTATTGTTTTTTTCGCATTAATTTTGGTTATTAATTAAAGCTTTCATCAGGTGATGTGTTAATATAATTATATGTACATAACAATTGACATAACATTTCTATCTTTGTCTTAGCAATCAGATATTGAAGTGGTTGGCAGTCGAACCCTCTTATATGGTCATCGTGATATTATTACAGGATTGGCAGTGTGTACACCATATAGCATCCTTGTGAGTTCAAGCCAAGATGCTTCATGCATTATATGGGATCTCAACAGGTGAGATATTTACATGTACTATAAACGCAATTATTCACTGGTCTTTATATTTTGCTATTTTCGCTGAATTGTAAAATCTGTTATATCTACATGTACATGTGAAATAACAATAGAACTCGTTGCTTCCCTGCCAAGTTTGTGAAATTAAAACCCGATGAAATTGCTCAAAACATCAAAAAAGTGAAAAATAGGGGTCTCAACAGGTGAGACATTCACATGTATTATATGGGATCGCAACAGGGGAGTCCTTCACATATACAAGGCCTGAACAGGTGAGACTTTCACATACAAAACTGTACATGTATATGGGGTCTCAACAGGTGCAACATTCACATGTATTATATGGGATCGCAACAGGTGAGACATTCACATATATGGGGTCTCAACAGGTGAGACATTCACATGTATTATATTGGGTCTCAACAGGTGAGACATTCACATGTATTATATTGGGTCTCAACAGGTGAGACATTCACATGTATTATATTGGGTCTCAACAGGTGAGACATTTACATATATGGGGTCTCAACAGGTGAGACATTCACATGTATTATATTGGGTCTCAACAGGTGAGACATTCACATATATGGGGTCTCAACAGGTGAGACATTCACATGTATTATATTGGGTCTCAACAGGTGAGACATTCACATGTATTATATTGGGTCTCAACAGGTGAGACATTCACATGTATTATATTGGGTCTCAACAGGTGAGACATTCACATGTATTATATGGGGTCTCAACAGGTGAGACATTCACATGTATTATATGGGATCGCAACAGGTGAGACATTCACATATATTGGGTCTCAACAGGTGAGACATTCACATGTATTATATTGGGTCTCAACAGGTGAGACATTCACATATATGGGGATCTCAACAGGTGAGACTCACATATACAGGGTTTGAACAGGTAGAATTTCACATACAAAACTGTACATGTATATGGGGTCTCAACAGGTGAGCAGCCCTCCAAGTTTAATTTTTTTCCTAGTTGCCAAGTTCAAACTTTTGGTGGCCAGCTGGAAAATTTAGTAGCCAAGTACAAAATTGTAGGTCGCCAGAATTTATTATGTTTTACAGACTACACAGAAACAACAATTATGTTTAAATTTAAGTATTTATTCAAGCATATGATACTAAATTATATCGTATCACAGAGAAACTAAACTGGATGATGTCAACGTGTTCAAATTATCATAGCTCATTTAAATACTGTAGAATACTTTATTTTCGCTTGGAATTTATTTTCGCTATTTTCGCTGAAGGGGTGATTCCGTGAAAATAAAATCCAGCGAATGTACTTTTTTTCCTATATTTCACATTAAACTCATCAAAAATCAGTGAAAATAAATTCCAAGCAAAACGCCCAAAAAGCCTTTTCAGCGAAAATTAATTCCAGCGAAAATAAAGTATTCCACAGTATGTTAAATGTTATTGAACGTAATATGGAAAAGACTTGCTGATGTTGTAGTCCGATCTTTTGGCTTGGATTTTGATGGGGAAATGGCATATTTTTTTTTTAAATCAAAAAATCAGTTGTTTTCAAAAAATAAATTAAGCATTTGAAGAATAATTTAACATTGATTACAGTGATAACTGCTCATTGTCGAAACAAAGCTTACCCATTTGCGCCGTTATTCACGCTAATCTAGTAGACACAATAAACATCATACTCTTGAGTAGGCGTCAATAACTACGGTAAAACTTACTCAATTTTAGGCGTCAGGAATGAATGAAATGTGCGAAAAATTATGCCAAAATACACCTTGAAAGTCCCATTTTATTTTTTTTAAATCTCATTTTATTTTTTTAATCCAAACTGCCGTTTAACGGCCCAGGGCGAATTTACGGCAGAATCTCGTCCCTCAAATAAGGACACGTGATCTTTGATTATAACCGGATATATTGCACTCAGGGAGATACAAACTGTCCCAGTTGCTAAACTTCCATGTATCTTTTGTACCTGTACTTCGAACATTCGCAAGTTTTCCTAGGTGGTGCGAGACAGCTCAGTTTAATTCAATGAAGCAAACAACTGTTAAAATTAATTGAAAACAAGCAAATAATTTCCATGAAAAATCACAGAGAGAGGTAACTTGATACATATGTATTACAACATTTCCTTGTCATAATACATACTGATTGATGACTTTCTTTTGATTTTGAGTTTTGAGCCTACAACTCGTCCACGACCTTTGCTTTCACCGTGAAATAAGGGGAAGTTTACGTCAATTTGATGGACATTCCATTTTTTAAAAACTAACGAAGCACACTGTCTATCATCCCCATTTTTATGATTTGCTGATTTCTATTCTGAAAAATCACCTTAATTTTGTACTCTAAAAACATGTAAGATTTTCAACACGAATTATTTAAAACCGGTTGAAATTTTAGATTTTTCACGGAGTTTCAACACTATCGTCCGACACTGATTCACTATGTGATACATGGCTCGGACTTGCAAAATACGCTGCGATCGTACGTCGCTTCATGACTACCGACTAGTTTTGTTCATAACAAATATGCCGGATAACGTAATACACATGTGCAGTGTTGAATTGTGGGAAAAACTGCCCACCAAGAGCTGACAAGCTGTACAGTCTGTTTTATATTACAGAAAGTTTAGTCGCCGGCCAGATTATTCTTAGTTCGCCAATTGGCAACCTACATATTTTTTTGAATCGCCATTCATTTAACTTAATCACCATGGCGACCAACATGGTCACAATCTGGAGGGCTGGTGAGACATTCACATCTATGGGGTTTCAACAAGTGTCAGGTCTTGGTTTGCCATATCTGCCATGTCCACTTCTAGCATAGAACTAGTGAATAATTTTAACATTACTTGCTTCCTCATGTAGGTTATGTTATGTGCAGTCCTTACGTAATCACAGTGGGCCTGTTACTACGGTTGCTGTCAGTGATACGCTGGGGGATATTGTATCCGCCTCAACACCCTGTGAGTTGACAATTCTTTATATTCACACACACAGCTTCAATAGTTTAATAACACCACCAATCATTGAAGAGATTTTTATAATGCATTATAAAATGTACTTGTTTTGTAATATTTAGGTTATTTTTTGTTAAAATAATAAATCAGGAAAGCAGAAATCTAGAATAAATTCAAAATCTATGCCATTGAATCTGCTACTATTAGCACTGAAGGTTACTTATTTGGTTTTTACTTTATTTTGCTCTTTGTATTAACAATTGTTTTTTTATTTAACCACAGCATCTGGTGGTAGTGATTTATATTTATGGTCAATTAATGGAAGTAAAATCTGTGAAGTACACTGTGATAGTGTTATACACAGTTTAACTTTCTCTACAGCGCCAGAAGGTGCATCAATCAATGTCGTAGCTGCCGGACTTCATACTGGAGTTATCAAGTAATTATCTACCTAGATCTATTCTGTATTACTGTAAAATACTTTATTTTCGCTGAAGAAATGACTCAGTGAAAATAAAATTCAGCGAATATACCTTTTTTTCTATATTTTACATTCAACTCATCCAAGATCAGTAAAAATAAATTCCATACAAAACACCCAAAAATTCTTTTCAGCGAAAATTAATTCCCGCTAAAATAAAGTATTTTACAGTATACTGAGTTATAACTGCAATGTGATATGTGGCTCATCTTTTGGAGACCAGAGTCGTATTTAAAATGTGTAATGTGATTCCTTTCAAATATTTTGCTTCAACGTTACACTACTAAAATGCAAGACTTTTCTTGTGTTGTCAAATAACTGTCACAGTCACTGTACAATATTTGCCATTGTCCACAGATCTTGATCAGATTTGAAAAGTTGATAAGGGAAAGAATGCATTATTTATGGTCTGTTATTTTCAGATTGTGGAGTAGTTGGGACTTAAAACCAGTCAGAGAAATCTATACAGAAGACTTCAACAAGCCAATTATCAGGTAATTTACAACATATGATTTACTTGCACATGATCAGGAGTGCCTTGTTTTAGGTTGATAAATAGTGGAATGACTTATGATTTTGTATTTCTTTCTCACACAGCTTGGTTTACTCACATGATTGTAATTTCTTATATGCTGCCAATACTGAGAAGAAAGTGGTAGCGTGGAACAGACAACAGCATGGAAAACCAAAATTTATCAAATTCCTGGAGTAGTCTACATTTAGTACATCCATTAGTTGCCATGGTGATAAAATATATACTTTAGTGTTATTACATGTAAATTTAATGTGACCACAGAGGAAATATTAAATAAATCCATTCAACCTTGAGCTAAGAAAAAGGATTGTATGCACATGTTGGTTGAAATCAATCAGATTTCAACATTGAATAGAATATCCTAGTGTAGTTATGAATACTTTTACCAGGTGAGGAATATAGATAACATTTTAGGACTACAATAATGTTAAAATTCAGTTCTGCTTTATTTGCTACTTTGTTTCATGATTGGTCAAGCAGGACACCACTCTTCATACAAAAAGTGCTTGTTCCCAGCATGCTTTAATCCCACACACACCTCTGCCACGCATGGATTTGCATAATAATATGCGAGGAAATCGTGTTGGCCCTAATTGACAGGTTTTTTTGCACTCACTCCGACCTAAATATTTGCATAGCTAAAATGGCAGCCTGGCTATATTGGGCAAATCCATGTGACAGAGGTGTGTGAGTGAAGCATGGCTGAGAGCAAACTGCCTCTGTTTGGAGAGTATCAAGACACATGACTTCAAATGTTAACTGTTGGTGCTAAAAAAAAAAAAGACAAAAGGCAGAACTCATGAAGTGAATATATATTACGACTACCGGTACTCATAAACAAAAAATGTACTATTTGTGAAGATGTTGACTTTATTGTATTTATTTGTAAATAATTCATGTCAAGAAAAAAATAGTACTGCCATGAGAAATAGAATATAGTAAACTGAACATTTACATTTGTGCTATGTATGCAACACAGTATGAGTGAGTTTGGTTAGTGAATTGTGGCACAGTATGAGTGAGTTTGGACAGTAAATTGTGGCACAGTATGAGTGAGTTTGGTTAGTGAATTGTGGTACAGTGAATTGTGGCACAGCATTATTTTATTTCTTGATTAATAGTAAATACTGTATTGTTACTTTAAAAGTGCGGATGTGCAAGTCTATGGTCAAAATATTTCAATGATTTAGCATTCAATAAATGTATGCACTTCTAATAGCAAATATAGTAATGTGTGTGTACATTAATTTGATATGGTTTCAGCATTTCAATTTAGAGCTTGTTATTTTCTTTTACAAGTTTTTTACAGGATTTATAAGTTGTATATAATTTTTTTAATTTCGTAGTTTTTTTTTAATTATTTTATAACTTTCAGCAATGCCAGCATATTAAAGGGCTGTGGTTGTCATGCTGCACATGTGCAACATTTGTGTTGATAAACATTGATTTTCCCACAAGTACGAATTTTGACCTGGTTACAACGCTTAATAATTATGCTGGTGACTCCTTCGATTCCCTCCAATCACCCAAAAAATTAACGAGTTAAAGCTTTGTAACGTCTCACATTTGTACTTGTTAGTCTGTTCAACAGCCAAAGTCGCCATCTTTGTTTATACAAGTCTTTTATCTCGTGCATGTGTGGTGTGACGACCACTGCTCTTTAATCACAAAGTTGTGTGATTGGATGTCTTGTTGCAAGCATAGTAACAAACACTGAACAATTTTTTAATTAAAAACTAAAAGATTGTATGTCCCCCCCCCCCCCCCACCCTTTTGTATCAGTATTATTGTGTGCCAAGTTGTTTTTTTTCCATGCTTACTTGCCTGGTAACAGTGCTTTGTGTAAATAGACTTTAGAACTACTGATTCCAGTTTAGTGCGAATGAAAACTTATTTCTATACAGCATGGATTGTTGCTGTATTTACCATGACTTTATTTATCAGTAAAATCTGTAACAAGAAATGCTTGAATAAAACTTTATTTTAGATCATATCTCTTGTGAAATGAACACTTTTTAACAAAATCTGAAGGGGCTTGTCTCAAAAAAGGTTATGAAGACATCAAAAACAAATCTGGTCAGCAATTATGCCGACAGTCAAAATGCAAAATTGACGTGTACCATGTGTTGTTTTTATATAAAAGCACATCCAAAAAACCGTAGCCAGTTTGCAATTTAAATTCTAATCAAGCAGCCTGTCGGCTGAGATAGCTCCACTGCACATTTCAATTAAAGAACTGAAGATATCGTTAGAAAATGAACAATGTTTAGTATCAAAGCAATCAGACTTGCTGTTTTCAACAAGAATTCGAAAATATCAATTTTTACCAAAAATATTCATCAAAATGCAAGCAGCATTGTCAGAAAAGTTATCTGCAGATACTCATTGAAATGGGGTGTTGACACCATAACCATGTGACTGATAACAATTTGGGGGTAAAATGTGGGTGCATATTAATGAGGTTACATCTTTTGTTTGATGCCTTCATTATGGGACTAGTTGTATGTTCAGTTATGTGTTACAGATACGACAGTTATGCATATTACCGGTAATGAGCTCACATGACCATATATGGTCATCTGTTATTTTAATCAAATTTCTTGTTCAACATTGTCATAACAGGATTCATCTTCCTAACTACAACAGTTATGCATATTACTTAGGTTAGAAGCCCCCCACCCCATGGGGTGCCATTCGGTTGGAAAAATGAATTTCAAGATTAGAATGCATATACAAATTTTCACTCCAATCTGACCAATACAACACATGTAATTGCTAATTTCCTGTTTTCAAAAAATTTTGTTTCCCAAACTAAGTAGATATAGGTAAGTAGAAGCTATATACTAAGTTTCATAGCGACAGACCATGTTGTTCAGAAGAAGAAATTGCTGAGTCGGCATAACAGAAAAAGCCATGTCCACTGCTAAAGTTTTTATTGGCGATATTTATTGCATTTAGGCACAGTAGAAAATTTGAAAGCCCTAGACCCTCAGAAAGGGGCGATTACCCCCCCCCCCCCCTCTGGTCGAATTTTGACTCTATAGCAGCCATGACAGTTAACCAATACAAATTTAGAAATCTGTGCACAAGTTCACATCACCACCAATCAGCACAGCAAGTTTGAAAACATTCTGTTCAGCCATTTTCTCAAACGAGCTGACTAAAAAACGATGGAAAGAAGATGAAGAAAAAAAATTCGAGCGATAACAATAGGACTCCACCCCTGAAAGGGCTTGGACCCCTAATTCGTGAATTTTCTTTTTATTACATGTATTAGAGAATTAAAGATATATATATATATACACCAATTATCAAAGCAATGAGGCTTGTAGTTTTCAAGAAGTCGAAAATGTAAAAAGTTTATGCAGTCGCAGATGGACAATTACTCATATGATAAGCTCTGCTCGACAGCGGAGCTAAAAAACTTAACATGTTTGAAAAATGGAGATCATTATAACTTGTACCGGTACAAACTCTAACAAAAGTCCCTGTTTCTGACCAGCATTGGCGCACATTTCATTACTCAAGGCTCCAACTTGTCTATCTTAACAGTACTCAAAATCATTTGTCTTCACAACCAATGGGCAAAAAATGAATAATCATGGACAGGTTTGCTGATAAAGGGACTTCTGTACAAAATAGTGTACAATAAAAACACAAAACTTAATTCAATTACTTGTCTTTATTAACCATCTGAAAAAAGACATTACACATTTGCAATCAATACCGAAAGCAATGATAGGTTGAATATACATGACCAATGCGAGCAATCTAATGAGGTTGCCAGATACATTACAACTTTTTACCATTCAGGTGCACAACTTTGGGAGGAAAATTGACTATTAAAAAACACTACTATCTAACATGTGAACACTGTTTATAAAAACAATAGTATTATTAACCTGAACCTAATCTGTTCAATGAACTTTGAATCGCACACTCCTTTAAATTTGTAGGATATTATTATATATTTAACTTAAATGACTTACAGCAAGTATGTAAAGATATATAGAATGACTAATTTAGATCAAAATTCATGGTTGCATTGACAGTCACATGAATGCTCCTGTATGTGTAAAAAAACAATGTCTGGACGCTAGCGTTACAATTAAATGACATGCAATTACAAACCCCTTTGTTCAAGGGGAGTACAGGACTTTCTGTTATTAATAAAGAGTTTCCAAGTATGGTATGACAACTTTAATAGAGCTTAGTGTTTTTTTTTTCAATAAGGTTTTGACTTCTGGTCGTCAAATATGAATACATGAGACACTATCAAAGGAATTAAATATTAATGAAATGTACATCCCAAATAATGGTTCTAATTTGTGAGCCATCCAACCAACACAAAAATGTTCTGTATCCCGTATCAAGTTGCATACCATAATTGAGATAAAAACAAGGCTGTCATCACAGTTACACATCAATGTATCGCTATCAGTCCCACGTCTAATAGTTTCTGTATCTTGGCAGCAATAGCAGGATTCTTCAAGTGTCTGAAGAGAGAGAGGAAAAAAAAGATGGCCACAGTTAACAATAGACTCAGGGGAAAAAAAATTGTTTTTTCATCGATCAAAATTAACAAAAACTCATCGTGCTGAACAAAAACAATTACATTCACAGTAGTTGTGTAAATGTTTTTATCATGTTGAAATGGCCTATGTGCTTAAAATTTGTTTTTCATATCGCACAAAGTTTCTAAGAACACAAAAAATTTGTTATGGAGTATTTTTTATTCTTACTCTCGCAGTGCACTTGGATTCTGCTGCATCTGTTCCAGAATCATTCTCATTGCTGGATCTTGCATGATTTGTTGCACCTCTGGATCTTGCATGGCATTCTGACGTATCTCCTCTGGATCACTACTCTGTGAGCTTACACACCTAGAATAGCCATCTATTGCTTCCTAGAATTAAAAACAATCAAACTATTGTTAGCTTTTGTCAAATTATTTTAAAATACTAAATGCATGTGATATACCATACTCGTGCAACTTGGCACCCACCCCTTCCATTTCTATTTTTTGAAATACTGTAAAATACTTTATTTTTGCTTGTAATTCATTTTCGCTATTTTCGCTGAAGGAATGATTCAATGAAAACAAGTCATTGTCAATGACACGTCCCCGTTCCGTTCATATTTGAGTGACATATACATTCAAAGCAGATCATGACCGAAATGCACCTGCATATGTACAACACATTGTACTAAATCTGAACAAAATCCATCCATGCATGACTGAGATCCGGTTCTGGAATTGTGAAAATACGTGATTTTGATGCATTTTCGGC